GGGACTGTGTTGGCTTTTTTAGCAGCTGCAGCACACTGCTGGCTCATATTTAAATGATTGTCCACTAGGACTCCAAGGTCCCTCTCACAGTTACTACTATTGAGCAAGGTACCCTCTATACTATACCTATACATTTTGTTTTTCTTGCCTAAATGTAGAACCTTACTTTTTCACCATTGAATTTCATTTTGTTAGATAGCACCCAGTGTTCAAATCTGTCCAGATCCTCCTGTATCCTAAGCCTGTCTTACTCCTATATAGCAGGACCCGTCTAATTTCTTGAATCATTCTCATTTTCATGGCTTTCATCTTTTGTCTTCCTTTTGTGGAAGAGACTCAGATCCAACATGAGACAAAAAAACCCTGAAATAAGTCCAGATTTTTTTTATCCATTCTCATTCAATACTGACCTCATCACTTGAATACAGAGCTTGGTTTAAAGTAGTGATTGAGAGGGTTGTAGAGTCCTCTGCCCACCTCACTTCCATATTTATATAACCTGTCATTGTACAGTATTCAATACCTGATCCTTACAGGAATAGAGGATGACTTTATGGGACACTTAGGAAACATCCTCTTCATTTTGTGGTGGTTCTACTTCAGTGATTGAATGATTTGAATACAGGTTACTGGGCAAATGAAAATTAGATCTGATAAAAATAATTGTGATTCTTAACCTTGGTGGAAGACTATCTCCATCCCATCTTCTCAAAGATCATAAAAAATTATGTGCTGATAGGGAGCTATCATTTGCCTTGGAGTTTGGATCTATATTGGCTTAAGACACAATACACTTGTGGAGGCAAAGATGATTAAATTGAAAAATAACATTGTTGTTTCTATTGATGATGATGGTAACAACATGATTTATTTTTTTTAATAGTATGGGACATTATTTTAAACTGCTAATCATGGTTTTTGCCATTCAAGCAGTCAATGAGAATCCCCAGCTCCTGCCCAATCTCACACTTGGCTACAACATGCACGACAACTATGTCAGCACTCTTGCTACTTCAGAAGCCCTGCTGGACATCCTCTCTACTGGAGAAGCCAATGTTCCAAACTACAGCTGTGGAAGGAAGGAAAACCTTTTGGCTCTTCTTGATGCAGCTAAGAGGGAAACCTCCATTCAGATGTCAAGATTAGTAGGCATCTACAAAGTCCCACAGGTTTGTGTGTGTGTTTCTTTAACTGATAAAGTGAGTGGGGAGATTGAGGGTGAATGATAGATCCAACCATATTTTGTCTGATTTTCACCATGGCCTTTATGGGTGTCAGGCTATGGATTGGGATACAGTGTGGAGAGAGGGCAAAAAGCAGACATGTCCTCTAATGACATCATCCCTGTTGCATTGTGGGCTTCTTCTGCACACTTGTGAAGATAAGGAGAGGCTCGGTATCCAATCAGAGGATCTTCTGACTGTTAGTTGGCATTCATGGATCAATCAACCAGAATAGAGCAGAAAGGGACTTTGGAGGTCTTCTAGTCCAACCCCCTGCTCAAGCAGGAGACCCTATACCATTTAGACAAATGACTGTCCAATCTCTTCTTAAAAACCTCTAATGATGAAGCACCCACAACTTCTGAAGGCAAGCTCTTCCACTGGTTAATTGTCATCACTGTTAAGAAGTTTCTCCTTAATTCCAGGTTGCTTCTCCTTGATTAGTTTATATTCATTGTTTGTTGTCCTTCCCTCTGGTGCTTTGGAAAATAACTTGACCCCCTCCTCTTTGTGGCAACCTCTCAAATACTGGAATACTGCTATCATGTTCCCGCTAATTCTTCTTTTCTCTAGACTAGCAAATCCAAATCCTGCAACCATTCTTTATATGTTTTAGTCTTCAGGCCTTTAATCATCTTAGTTGCTATTCTTTGCACTTTATCCAAAGTCTCAACATCTTTTTTTGTAATGGTGTGACCAAAACTCTATGCAGGTGTGGCCTTATTAAAGCTTTATAAAGCAATACTAATACTTCATGTCATTTTGATTCTATTCCTCTGTTTATACAACCAAGGATTGTACTAGCTTTTTTGGTTGCTGCCACACACAGGTTTTCCTGCCTACATGTAAAACCTTGCTTTTATCCACATTAAATTTCATTTTGTTGGATAGAGACCATTGTTCAAGTCTTTCAAGTTCTTTTTGGATCTTGAGCTTGTCTTCTGGGGTGTTGGCTATTCCTACCAGCTTAGCGTCATCTGCAAATTTGATGAGTTCCCCTTCTATTCCCTCATCCAAGTCATTTATAAAGATATTGAAGAGTACTGGCCTAAGACAGAACCTTGTGGTACCCCAGTGCTAATTTACCTATATGGAGATATACTGTAGTACCATTAAGGACCACTCATTGAGTATGGTTTGTCAGCCAGTTACAAATCTATCTGGTGGTGATGTTGTCTATCCCACATTTTCTAGCTTATCAAGAAGTAGGTTGTGGTCTACTTTGTAAAATGCCTTACTGAAGTCTAAGTATACTGTGTCCACAGCATTTCGCCAATATACTAATTAGTCATTCTATCAAAGAATGAAATAAGATTGATTTGGCATGATCTGTTTTTAACAAACCCATGCTGGCTTTTACTTATAACTTTATTTATTTCTAAATGTTTGTAGATCTGTTTTTTTATTATGTTTTCCAGTATCTTCCCAGGTATTGATGTTAGGCTGATTGTGTCTGGGTTTTTTGTTTGTTTGTTTTTGTTTTCCCTTTTTGGAAGATATGGTATAATGATTCTGAGATAACATCTGCCAAGTCCTTCAGAACTCTAGGATGTAATCTATCAGGTCCCAGTGATTGATATTCATCAAGATCAGATAGGTGTTCTCTAACCATTTTCTTGTTTATTTTAATTTTTATTTATAGATTGTCTAAGCTGGGATATAGATGGGATATTGTTTTTGTGTGAAGACTGATGCAAAGAATGAGTTAAGCAGCTCTGCTTTCTCTCTACTGCCTGTTTCTTCCTTGCCATTTTCTCTATTTAGTGGACCGACTGTTTCCTTAACTTTGTTCTTGTTATTTATACGTTGAAAGAAATTATTATTATTATTATTATTATTATTATTATTATTATTATTATTATTATTATTATTAGTAGTAGTAGTAGTAGTAGTAGTAGTAGTAGTAGTAGTAGTTGTTGTTGTTGTTGTTGTTGTTGTTGTTGTTGTAAGTCTTTGTTCATTCTGAGCCTTTGTTTTCCTGACTATGTCTTTGCAGATTTGGCTATCTGCTGATACTCTGCCTTAGTCATGTGTCCCTCTTTCCATTTTTTATACTTGTCCTTTTTGGCTTTCAGTTTATCAGAGTGCAGCCTTGTGAGTTTCTTCTTGGATTTCTTGTTTTTCTCTTTCAGTGGTATTGTTCTGGACTGGGCTTTTGTGATCATATTTTTCAGCGTTTCCCATGCTTCTTGAATTGTTTTCCCCTTTAGGATTTTCATCCATGGAATTTTTTTAGGCTCTGAGTTTGTTGAAATCAACTCTTTTAAAGTTTAAGACATTGGCTGTATTATGCTCTATTGCTTGTGCTTGCATGATATTGAATTCCAATATATGACATGGTCACTCTTGCCCAAAGTTCCAGCAACTTCAACTCCCTCTATCACTTCTTCTTCATTAGTAAAAATTAGGTCTAGCCTATCTTTTCCTCTAGTTCCCTCCTCTATGTTTTGGTTGACAAGGTTGTCAGCTAGGTTGGTTAGGAATCTGTTTGATCTCCCATTTGCTGCAGAGTTTGTCTCCCAGTTAATATCAGGGTAGTTAAAGTTTCCCATTATCACTGTGGTATATTTCCTACAAACATATGTTAGTTGTTTAGCAAAAAAAATTCATCAATTTCTTCTGCTTGGTTGGGTGGCCTGGAATATACACTTGTATCAATGTCATTCTTTTTAAATTTCTATATTGACTCATATGGATTCTAGGAGGTTTTTATCTTTCCTTTTGTGTATTTCTATAGAGGTGGAGTGATCTTTTATATATAATGCAACTCTGCCTCCTCTTTTGTTAGGTCTGTTTCTTTTGAATAGTTTGTATCCTTCCATCAGCATATTCCAGTCTTGATTTTCATCCCATCAGGTTTTAGTAATGGCAAATATATCATATCTGCATTCTTGTACTAATACTATAGCTCTTGGGTATGTTTCTTATATCTCCTAGTTTATATCTTGATTTTCCAGCCTTTCCATCACTCTCTACTTCACTGTGTCTTTCTTTCTTGTTTCTTCTTTCTCCTTACTCCCTACCTCCACTCTGCTAGTCTTCTGCCAGTTTGTCCTACATTGTGGCTGTGTCAGACCTACCCCAGCCAGGCTCTCAGGAAAGTAAGAATCTTGAATCTATTGATTTGAATCAAAAGAACTTTTTTTGAGAGAAAGTGGTTGCAGTAAAGTCATGCAGAATCTGAAGGTCCTGCGCAAAGCATAAACCAATTCTTTCAGTTTCCCAATCCCAACCCCCTTACCAGTCCACTGGCAGCTAATGTGATGTCGAGAAGTTGTTTTGGAGAGCTTGAGAGATAGAAAAAATAACATTCTTCTTCATTCTTCAATTGTATAAAGAAGAGAGGGGTAAGTATCTTGGACTATACAATAGACTAATAATCTATTGTGGTCCTTATATTAAAATAAAATTCACACTTCTTGTGTCCCAAAGGTGCTTTTTCAAAAGGCAACAGGATGGTCTTCATTTTTGCTTGAAGTCATTTCACTTCTCATCCAAGAAGCTTCTTCAATTGACTGAAGAACTGAAGAAGTTTCTTGGATGAGAAGTGAAATGTCTTCAAGTAAAAAATAAAGAAAGCCTAGTTGTCTTTTGAAAATGCACCTTTGGGAAAATTATGACCTGAATGACTGAGAATCTCCATAGCCACATTTTCTGTGTGGTAAGAATTCAAAAGCAACATATAATAGAGGCATTTATTTGAAAAAAATAGTTCAGTTGAGATCTGCATATGTAGGATGATGATATTACGATGATGTTACCTATTCAGTCATGTCTGACTCTTGGCGATTCTACGGGCCAGGTCTCTCCACATCTTCCATTCTTTCACTGCTTCTTTGAGTTGTTCTATGTCTTGGTTAGTGTCAGCTTTGACGGTTCTTTGGCAGCCTGGTTGCCTTTTACCACTAAGGTGATACAGAAATATTATTTACATTCTGTCTCTAATTACATTAAAAATTTGAATCCTGGGTAATGCCATGTAGTAAAAACAAATAAATATGAACACCAGGATAATATCAAACTAGGATTTGTTTAATAAAAATACTGAGCTTTTACATTCTTTATATTTATTCTTTTTCATTTATTTTTTTATTTTATGTTTTATGTACATTCTTGTCAATTGTTCTGTGCTTCATATTCTGTATCTTAATATGGTTTAATGAGTAATTAATAATATACCATTCTAAGATGTTCATGAGTAGCAAGTTGGATTTACTAAAATCTAATATTTTGGACTTCATTTCACCCCAAATATAGCATAGCATTCTTCATTGTTTTTTCAGCTCAGCGATGCAATTGTTTCAGAGACTCTGAGTGATAAAAGTGGATTTCCTTTTTTCCACCGGATCCTCCCCCCAAAAGGGATCACATATCCAGCAATTGTCCAACTGCTCCTCCATTTCAGATGGACCTTGATTGGTCTTTTTATTTCAGACACAGAGGAGGGAGAGAATTTCATGAAGACTTTTACTCCTATGCTTGTCAGGAATGGAATTTGTGTGGTTATATCACAACGATTCACAGCAACTGGACATGCAACACTCCTCAGGGATGACATCTCTAAGTGGAGTCAAGTTAATGTCTTTGTGAACTACATAGAACACGTTAACATTTTTATTATACTTTCCAGTTAATATTTGAAGGTCTACCAGGACCCATTGAAGGGAAAGTCTGGATTGTGGAAAGCATTGAGTATTTGGTATTAGGATGGGCACGTCTTTACAAATATGTCCATAGCATCTGGAGCTTTGCCTTTCAGGAAAAGAAAAGGCCAGAAGATGATCCTTTTGGAACCAAACTCTTTGTGAAATTGGAAAATCGGTATTTTCATTGTTCTTTTTCAAAGCACCTTTTTTCAGTCAAAGGCCAGAAAAGATGCACCCAGAAAGCACCATTGCAACCTGGAGAGGAAAGAAGAAGGATATGGATCCCTTTTCACCTCCATCTGCACAGTGTTATTAAGACTCTGGCCCGTGCCTTGAAAGGTGCATATTCTTCCAGATCTGGGAGGAGAAGCAAGATGGGTGAAGAGAGGTTGGGGTCTCCAAGGCTGCAGCCATGGCAGGTATGGAGTCCCCATCAGGATCCATGAAATTCCAAGGGAGAGGGAGAGGAACCTTTTCAACCCCCTTGTGTTACAAAGGGCCAAACTATTCACTCAAGGAATAAAGTTGAAGAGGTCAGGGACAAGAGGCTTTGGCTGAATCCTGGCAAGACCAAATAGCTTCAGTTGCATGGATCTTTAGGATCCATTAATTTAGCATCATTAATTCTGGATGGAGTTGCACTATCCCTGAGAGACCTGGTCCACAATTTTGGAGTTCTCCTGATCTCACAACTTCTACTCAAAGAGCAGGTGGCAGTTGTAGCTAGAATAGCCTTTGCACAACTTTGTGTTGTGTACTATTTGCACCCTTTTGTGATTCAAATGTCCATAGGGGTGGGGCCACTACACCACTGCTCCATAAGCTACAATGGCTAAAATGTTCCCTTTAATAGACAAATTTGGTCAATTATATTTTGTTAGATCACATTTTTCAATATATGACTAACCAATTTATATGAGTCTTTTTTTCACTTTTGAACATAGTGGTAACATCTGGTCTCTAAACTCACAGTATTTTCAAGTTAGACATCTGTTGAGGAAAGATTTGAATGTGAAAAGGGATAAGAAATCAAATATTCTGTTTTTAAAATTCCAGTATGTTTCTATTCTAGTTCCATCCATTTCTGGAGAAGAATGAGTTTTGCAATATTTCCCATAGGAAATTGTATTTGGACCAAAATGGAGATGTAGCAGCAGATATGAACATCATAAGCTGGGTGCTTCTTCCCAGGTGGGATCCTATTGACAAACAACTGGGGAGCTTTGAAAGGCAGAAATGTATTATCAATAAAGATATTCTGTCATGGCTAAAGTTGCACAACAAGGTGGGAGAAATATTGGTGTTCCTATGTATCTTAAGCAGGAGACTATTTTAGACTACTTTCAAAGGGGAGCTGCTTTGCAATGGTCCTTTATTGCAATGAGAAATCCAAAAGCAAAAGGGGTGAAGTAAATAAAGAAAATGTCAGAAATTGTATCTCCAGCAACTATTTTGAACTAGTTAGAGAGATCACACTTATCTAAGTGAAGGCAGGAGACTCTTTTGCTAATGTTCATTTTGACCTTTATTTTCCATGGATGGTGAATCCTAACATACTTTCTTTGGCATTGCTGTTTTTTCTGTTTAGACTCTGCCTCAGTCCAAATGTGTGGAAAATTGTCATCCTGGATTTGTCAAGCGGAAGCGAGAAGGAGAGTCAGTTTGCTGCTATGACTGTGTTCCTTGTCTGGAAGGGACCATCTCCACTCAGGAAGGTGGGTAACACCAAAGAAAAAGGTTGATATTGTGGAAATGGATTCATCCATAGAATTTTTCATGGGAGTGAAACAGCTCAGGTCTTTTCTAGTGCATTGTTTATAAGTCTCAATAAAAATAATTGCACTTTCTTTACAATATTAATCTTCAAAATTCTTTGTATCTTCTTCTTCTTCTTGGACAGTTATTATGCATTCATGTTACTATTGGTCCCATGAGCTATACCAGATTATTTTCATGACTAAAATTTCCCATAGAGGTTATGCACATTTGACAGGATATAGAGAGAGGTAGAGAATTAGATAGATGATAGATAGATAGATAGATAGATAGATAGATAGATAGATAGATAGATAGATAGATAATTATATACAGAATTTTGTTTTTGCTTCAACTTTTAAAAAATGCTTCTTTGAAATGGTATTAGCTGTTGTCCCAAGAATGCATTTTTTGAAATTTAAAAGGACAGAATATGGAAGAATTGTTGTTTTTTTTTCTTTTCTCAGATATGGAAAAATGCACCAAATGTCCAGATGACAAATATCCAAATGAGGGCAGAGTTCAATGTATCCCCAAAGTTATATCCTTCCTGTCTTATGAAGAATATTTGGGCATCCTCCTGGTCTTTTTTGCCCTATTGCTGTTCCTAACCACAGGATTTGTGTTAAACATGTTCCTTCAATACAAAGAAACTCCCATTGTCAAAGCCAACAACCAGGATCTCTCTTACATCCTCCTGGTCTCCCTCCTGCTTTGCTTCTTGTCTCCCTTTCTCTTCATTGGTCAACCAAGTAAAGCCACCTGCCTTCTCCAACAAATGATTTTCAGCATCACCTTCTCAGTTGCCATTTCTTCCCTCCTGGCCAAAACCATCACAGTGGTGCTGGCTTTCCTGGCCACAAAACCAGGAAAACAGGTAAAGATATGGTTGGGGAAGAGCTTGGCCAACTCTATCATCCTTTCTTGTTCTGCTGTACAAGTTATCATCTGTTCCATCTGGCTTGGAGTTTCTCCCCCATTCCCTGATACTGACCTCCACTCCCAGCCTGGAGTTATCACCTTGCAATGCAATGAAGGCTCTGTTGTCATGTTCTACATCACCCTCAGCTACCTGGGATTCCTGGCTGCCATCTGCTTCATGGTGGCTTTCCTAGCCAGAAATCTCCCTGCGGCCTTCAATGAAGCCAAGCTGATCACCTTCAGCATGCTGGTCTTCTGCAGTGTCTGGGTGAGTTTTGTGCCCACCTATCTGAGCACCAAAGGAAAATGCATGGTGGCTGTGCAAGTCTTCTCCATCTTGGCCTCCAATGCTGGGCTGCTGGGCTGCATCTTCATCCCCAAGTGCTACATTATCATTCTGAGGCCAGACCTGAATACAAGGGAGCAACTTACAACAAGAAGAAATAACGAAACGTGAGACAGAGAAATTTTAAAACTTAGCATTTTCTTACAGTCCACACCTAGAAAATGGTCCAAGCTGCTCTCCGTACAAAATAGGGCCGATGATTTTATTTGAAATAATTAAAGGGAAGATAAGATCCCCAACTTTGTACAGTTAAATTTGAAGATGTCCACTGAACATTTTTTGAATCCTTAAGGCAGAATGCCCTTAAGTCCATTGTCCCTAGCCTACTTGAGTTCTGAAATGCTACATCCAGTTTTTTAAAACATGACTCTTGCATAATGGAAATCTTGTTCATATGCCAGGGGGAGGGTTTAAAGGAAATGCTTTATCTACAAATTGTATAATAGAAGCAGTAAGAGTCTGAATGTCACTGAAGTTTGTTCTTTCAAAACAGAGTTGACCTGAAAAAGAATGAAAAGGTGATATTAACAGTATGCAATAATGTGAGCTGCCTTTTTCACAGAAAAAGAAAAGTAAAATTAATATAAAAATAGTGGTTGCTATGAAGAAGCAAGTGATTTCTCCTCTTGCAGATAGAAACCTGGGCATGGGGAATGCTTATCTTCTCATTCCTTTTTTTCATAGCTGTCATTCTGCTGCTGGCTTCGCATTACATCTTTTGCCAGGTTGACATCAGCAATGGTGAGAGGGGGAGAGATTGGAATGGGGGGTTGGGGGGTTGGGTTTGAAGCAGAGCCAGCCCTGATTGTGAGGACCACCAATCAAGCACAAGGTCATTGAATGGAATGTGGAGATGGAAAGGCACAAACACAAACCTGAGAACTTTTAATTGGACATTGACTGATAACAGAGGGATGGACAGGGAAAAAGGAAAGATTAATTACATCGTTTTCATGCCAAGTCAACAGATTCTGCTTGCTCTGATCTGTAACTGCTTTGTTCTTGATAAAGTATACTCTTGGAAAAAGAAATGAACCAGGAGTCTTTCTTTGCTAATTAAACTCATGGGATGTATGACAATTTTCATTTCATCTCTACCTACTGACACCTACAACATGGGAAGTGTGCTGTAGAATGTTATGGACATACCTGTGGGATTTTGTGGGTGGCCAACATGGTGGCATTCTGAGAGGAGATTTCAGTCTCAGTCCCTTCAAGGATAATAAAAAGGTCCTCTGCCTTCCACAACTGTAGTTAGGAACATTCACCTACCCAGCTGACAGCAGGTCCAGCACAGCATTCCAAGTCATTCTAAAGTTCAAATAATTGTCATTGAGATTGAAAACCAGGTGGATGTTGGGAAAAGTGGGAGATCCTGGTTGATTTCAGATGGCTTAAAGAAATGAGAGGACTTTCCAGTAGTAGGTGGATCCTCTTCTGGAAATATAGGAGCATCATGCTTTTATCCTTGATTTAGTCCATATAACACATTTCATTTCAGATAGTACTTTTACTCTGTACTCTGAGTTTGAAGAAGAACTGTTGTGCACTTCATCTAGGTTGGTTCTGGAGGCCCAGCTGGAGATTCAGAGTCTACAAAAGGAGAGCACTGGAAGACTACTGTTATATTAGCTGTGGGTGTCATTTTGTGATGCCATGCATGGTTTTCTATCAGTTTTGGGTGGTGTTTGTCTTCAAAGCTGGTTGAGACTATATAGCATAGGGCTTGTCAGACGTTCTGTTAGCAGCTGCAGCTTCTAGTTCCCTTGGCTGGATGTCACAGTGGCAGAGGGTTTCTTTCACAGAGTCTTTCTAGCTCTTGCATGGTTGATGTTCAGGTGTTTACCCAGATTCCAATATACAATAGAGCAACTGACATGATATTAGGTAACCATGCATTCTGATAACATGTCCCCCCCTATTTCATTTGGGTTCTGATAGTCTAATAATGAGCTGATTAGAAATTGATCCTTGAAGAGATACTTTTACTTTTGCTAAGCGGCTTCTTTATCAATCAGAAAATTCATCAGGTAATTCAGGAAAAACAAAAACAAACAAACAACAAAAAACATTAAGGAGAGGTTTAATCTATTTAAAGGGTATAGAAACAAATAATACATTTGCAATATGTGATCAAATAATAGAAGGCATTGATTACATGTGAGATTTTAACAATGGAAAAGGCAATATTCCCCAAGTGACAAATTGATGACTTACATTATTCTTTCCCAGCAGGGTTTGCACCTAACTTAAAACTTTTAGGTGTATTCAGGTGAGTTCAAAACTATTTATAGGGTAGAGAAACAAATGATATGAGGGCAATTCGGAAATAAACCTCCATCTGAATATCAATGACAGACACACACAGATACAGAACTTTTATTATACACATTAGAAAACTACAACATTACATTAATTTTCGACATAATCACCATTCAAATTGAGGCACATAATAATAATAATAATAATAATAATAATAATAATAATAATAATAATAATAATAATAATGATGATGATGATGATGATGATAATGATGATAATGATGATGATAATGATAAAGTTGGAAGGGACCTTGGAGGTCATCTAGTCCAATCCCCTGCTCAGGCAGGAAACCCTATACCATTTCGGACAAATGGCTGTCCAGTTTCTTCTTAAAAACTTCCAGTGTTGGAGCATTCACCGCTTCTGGAGGCAGGTTGTTCCACTGGTTAATTGTTCTAACTGTCAGGAAGTTTCTCCTTAGTTCTAGGNTGATTCTATCCCTCTGTTAATGCAGCCTAGCACTGTGTTGGCTTTTTTGGCAGCTGCAGCACACTGCTGGCTCATATTTAAATGATTGTCCACTAGGACTCCGAGATCCCTCTCACAGTTACTACTATTGAGCAAGGTACCCCCTATACTATACCTGTACATTTGGTTTTTCTTGCCTAAATGTAGAACCTTACTTTTTCACCATTGAATTTCATTTTGTTAGATAGCGCCCAGTGTTCAAGTCTGTCCAGATCCTCCTGTGTCCTAAGCCTGTCTTCTGGAGTGTTGGCTATTCCTGCCAGCTTGGTGTCGTCTGCAAATTTGATGAGTTCCCCATCTATCCCCTCGTCCAGATCATTGATGAAGATGTTGAAGAGCACTGGGCCCAGAACAGAGCCCTGGGGCACCCCACTACACACTTCCCTCCATGTACATGCGGTTCCATTGAGGACCACACGCTGAGTAGGGCCAGTCAGCCAGCTACGGATCCATCTGGTCATAACGTCTTACAAGGTTTGAAATTTCTTAGTAGTAGTCACTTGGTGCCAAATCTGAGCTATACAGGGGGGTGATAAAAACATCCCAATGGAACTGTTTCAAAAGTTCTTGGTGCATCTAGCGGTGTGTAGGGGACCATTATGAACCAACACCACACTGGAAGTGGTGCTATAGAAAACCCTGTCAAATGTGAAGATGTCAATGGAGTACTGCTAGTGAAGTTCATGGAGCATGGTTCAACCATCAATTCAGAAGCCTACTGTGAAATGTTACGAAAACTCAGACAATCCATCCATAAAAGTGTTGTAGCATGCTGACTTCCGGTGTGGTGTTTTTTCATGATAATGCTCACCTGCACACCATTAGATGCACCCAATAACTTTTGAAGCAGTTCCGTTGGGTTGTTTTTGATCACCACCATCCCCCTTAGCCCAGATTTTGAGTGACTACTACTAAGGAATTTCAAACCTTGTAAGACGTTATGACAAGTGCCTCAATTTGAATGGTGATTATGTCGAAAAGTAATGTAATGTAGTAGTTTTCTAATGTGTATAATAAAAGTTCCGTATCTGTGAGTGTCTGTCATTGATAACCAAATGGAGGTTTATTTCCGAATGGCCCTCATACATACAATATATTTGTTGTATGTAATACATCAGAAAGCAAGTGATTGAACTATAAATGTCAATGTTATTGTTAATATCTTTTTTATTTTAGTGTTGTTATACATTTCAGAAAGGAGGGGAAATCATGCAAAAATGGATGAAATGATCCATTTGTCCATATTTATAAATAATAGTGATGGATCACCCACTAAGAAATAATATATCCCCATTTTGGGAGGAAGGGATAACTGAGAGGAATGTAATTGCATAAACGTTTCAGTTTGAAATAAAGGAAATGTAACAACACCTACTATACAGGAAGTTACAAGGTCTGACAACAAGAACATAAGCATCAGAAACCACAAGTAAGGACAAAAGGACATATTTACTCAAATAAGGCACAACTCCATAGATAAACAGACAAATAGACTAAAAAAAGGTAGAACTGCAAAAAAGGTAATAGCTTTCTGAAATGTTACTTCCCTATTTCTGGAAATTAACTGTATAAATGATTGTAATATTATGTTGTTCAGGGTCTCAGCTCCTTTAGTGGCTGGGATCCTTTTGCTGAAGCGCTTCAATAAAAGTTTTGTGAAAGTCCATCACTGGTGTCTAGCTCTGATTGGCTTCTGCACCAGGCTGAACCATTTTTGGGACAACAATAACATAATAAATCTCAGGTTACTTCTTGTCCTTCTGTTATCTTAAATAAAGATATAAGAAATATTTGCATCCTCAGATTCAGTGGTTGCTATGGGGATGTAATGAACCTTACCACAGGTCACTGTGATACATTCTTTATGTCTTCATTTGCCTACCAAACAGTCCAATTCATCTGGAAACTGATTTTGCCACACAGTATTGTAACTAAAAATGAGACTTGGAGTATTGCTATTGGTTTATTTAGGAAAATGGAGGAAAATAAATACGGATGGCTTTAGAAATAAGAAGAATACCTCTTCCTTGTTCCTTTCTTGTTCGCTTCCTTCCAATATTTGTTAATTTAAAACTAATGTTAGTGCTACTATTTTTTAATCTGTTGTTTACTTTTGTCTTGATTGTACGTTGTGTAGAGTCATCTCTATTTCTAGCCAAGATGGGCAGCATTTAGATTTAATAAATCAATAAACAAACAAATAATTAATTGATCACAACCTGTTAATCAAGCCTACTAAATGACATTTTTGAAAAATAATAGATTTCTAAAAGTCTTTTTTTCCCAAATTTATTTTGACATCAAATGTTCTTTGGTATTCA